GTTAAAACACCAACCCCAGACAGATATTTCTCAGGTCATTTAAATGTGTTTGGCATGTAGTAAAGCATTTAACGTTAGCTATTATTATTTTATATATAATATTTAAATAGGTAATACACCATTCAAGCACCGAAAATATAGAAATGTATTATTGAAATGTCTTCTACTTATTCTTGGCCATTCCCCACCACCAACATGTTAAACTACTATTATTAATTCCTTTTTTTTTAAAGATAAATTACAGCATACTATACACATTGACCTGTTACATGTTGCTTTTTTCCAATCTTGGAGATCTTTTTGTATCAATAGCTGAAGAGCTTTCTCATTTCTTTTTTACAGCTGCATAGAAATTTTCATAGCTGTATGGCTATGCCATAATTTAACTATTCATAATTTAATTATTCTCTAACCAAACACATTGATGTTATTATAAATAATGCTAAAGAAAATATCCTCATCCAGATATAATTTTTCATGCTTGAGAACTTATCTACAAAGTACATTCCTAGAAGGAGAACTGGTTAGGAAAATGACTTACGCACTTGCAATTTTAACAATTATTGTCAAACTCGCTTCCATAGGGGTCATATCGGTTTTCACTTCCAACAAAAATGAATGAATCACTAGTTTCCCCACAGCCTTACCAACGTGCTGTGTTATTAAACTTTTAGAGTTTTGCCCACCTGATGGGAGAAATAGTGTCTTAGTGTAGTTTTTAAAAATGAGTGACTTTGAGCATGTTTTCAAAAGTTTAAAGGCCATTTGTTATCCTTTTTCTATGATCATATCATTTGCACACTTTAAAATTGAATTTTGCTCTTTTCCTTAATGATTTACAGGAAATGTATTTATTATGGAAATTAGCCCTTTTTCTGTTACATAAGATGCAAATATTTTTCCAAGTTTGTCATTTGATCTTGTTTATGGTGTTTTATTCATAGAGACATTTTTGATTTTGACGGTTTTAACTTGTTCTCTTTTACGCCTTCTGGATTTTTTTTGTTTTTATAAATTAATTTATTTATTTCTGGCTGCACTGGGTTTTTCGTTGCTGCACCCAGGCCTCTCGCTGTGCTGGCCTCTCTTGCTGCAGAGCACGGGCTCTAGGCGCGCGGGCTTCAGCAGTCGTGGCTCACGGGCTCCGGAGCGCAGGCTCAGCGGCTGTGGCGCACAGGCCTAGTGGCTCCGCGTCTTCATGTGGGATCTTCCCGGACCAGGGCTCGAACCCATGTTCCCTGCACTGGCAGGCGGATTCTTAACCACTGCGCCACCGGGGAAGACCTCCCTCCCCGCCTTCTGGATTTTAAGTCATGTTGTAAAGGCCTCTCCTACTCTGAGATTGTATATGAATTTTTCCTTATTTGCCCTAGAAATTTGATTCTTTCACTTCCCGCATTTAAATCTTTGATCCATCTAGAATTTATCCTGGCATATATTTGAGATATGGTTCCACCTTTTTCTCCCCAGATGGCCACTCAATTATAACCAATGCCATTTACTGAATTACCCTTAGAATCCCCACTGCTGTGAAATGCCACCTTCATACCCTAAGTCCTGTGTGCATTTGCCTCTGTTCTTGGGCTCCCGGTTCTGCTCTGTTGGTTTGCTGCCTATTCATGCTTCAGGACCAACCCGTTCCTGGACTGAGCATGGCTTACAATCAGCGGGGCTCGTTCTCCCTCTCCGCTCCCTTTTCCGTGGTTCTCGTTCCTATTTGTTTACAGCTTTTGAAATATGACCTTCAGATTCAGTTCGTTTGGTTTCAGCAAGCAGCAAAAACAACCCCCACCCCCCAAAATTAAAAAACCTTCTGTTGGTTCCTTTATTACCATCACCTTAAGTTCATAAATTAACATAGGAAAACTTGACATATTTTATGACTTTGAATCTTACTAAGACTATAGTAAATTCTTCTGTGTTTATTCAACTCTACTTCTTCGTCCTGCAGGAACATTTAAAAATTTGTGTCAAATTGGTTTGGTTAAGTTTATTCCTAGATATTTTATCTATTTGTGGCTAATGTACGTGGAGTGTTTTCTTTCACTGTATTTTCTGACTCGTGTTAGTATGTGTGGAGCCTTTTGATTTTTGTGTATTAATTTTACACCATTCTAGCTCAGCTTGTTTTCTTATAATTTCTAGTAGGTTTTGTTCTTAGTTGATCCTCTTTACTTTTCCAAGTATCTAATCATATAATCTGCGAACAGTAATAGCCTTACCTCTTCCCTTACAATATTTATTCCTATGACTTCTTTCTCTTGTCTGGTTGCTTCAGAGAGTACGTCCAGAACACTTTTAGGTAAATGGAAATATTACCAACCTGACATTTTCCCGATTTCAGTGGGAGAGTCTAGTGTTTCCTCATTCAGACTTTTGGTCTGAGATTTGCAACTTTAAAAAAAATCATATTCACTGTTATCTATTTCATTAAGCATTTTAAAAAAAATTTAGTAATGGAGATTAAATTTTGAAGGTGACTTTTTGGTAGCTACGGGGTTATATTTTCCCTATAACTTACTAAAATGATGACTTACATCAGTAAATTTCCTACACTGAAATTACACTTGCATTCCTGTACTAACTCCACTTGGGTCAGACATTCCATCTGCTAATACTGGGTTGGCCAAAAGGTTCGTTCGGTTTTTTCGTACGATGGCTCTGGTAGTGCTTAGTTGTCTTTAATTTCATTAGAAACAATTTTGTTAGATTGTATCATGACAGCTATCATATCAGCATGCATTAAAAAAAAACTTATCAAAACTGGTGGAGTTTTGTGTAGCTATTTTAATATTGAAGATGGAAGAAAAAAGCAACATTTTCAGCATATTATGCTTTATTATTTCAAGAAAGGTGAAAGCACAACTGAAACGCAAAAAAAAATATTTGTGCAGCGCATGGAGAAGGTGCTGTGACTGATCGAACGTGTCAAAAGTGGTTTGCGAAGTTTCGTGCTGGAGATTTCTCGCCGGACGATGCTCCATGGTCGGGTAGACCAGTTGAAGTTGATCACGATCAAATCGAGACATTAACTGAGAACAATCAATGTTATACCACGCGGGAGATAGCTGACATACTCAAAATATCCATGTCAAGCGCTGAAAATCATGTGCACCAGCTTGGTTATGTTCATCACTTTGATGTTTGGGTTCCACATAAGTTAAGAGAAAAAAACCTTGACAGCATTTCCGCATCCTATTCTCTACTTAAATGTAAGGAAAACATTCCATTTTTAAAACCAGTTGTGACAGGCGATGAAAAGTGGATACTGTACAATAATGTGGAATGGAAGAGATTGTGGAATAAGCGAAATGAACCACCACCAACCACAGCAAAGGCCGGTCTTCATCCAAAGAAGGTGATGTTGTGTACATGGTGGGATTGGAAGGGAGTCCTCTATTATGAGCTCCTTCCGTAAAACCAAACAACTGATTCCAGCAAGTATTGCTCACAATTAGACCAACTGAAAAGCAGCAATAGATGAAAAATGTCCGGAATTAGTCAGCAGAAAACACATAATCTTCCATCAGGATAATGCAAGACCGTGTGTTTCTTTGATGACCAGGCAAAGACTGTTACAGCTTGGCTGGGAAGTTCTGATTCATCCACCATATTAACCAAACACTGCACCTTCGGATTTCCATTTATTTCAGTCTTTATAAAATTCTCTTAATGGAAAAGATTTCAATTCCCTGGAAGACTGTAAAAGGCACCTGGAACAGTTCTTTGCTCAAAAAAAGATAAAAAGTTTTGGGAAGATGGAATTATGAAGATGCCTGAAAAATGGCAGAAGGTACTGGAACAAAAGGGTGAATATGTTGTTCTGTAAAGTTCTTGGTGAAAGTGAAAAATGTGTCTTTTATTTTTACTTAAAGACCAAAGGCACTTTTTGTCCAACCCAATATTTTATTTGGAATTTTTGCGTCGATATTCATAAGATTCATCAGTAATTTTCTCTGTTTCTTATACGAAGTACATCTGTTTAGCTTTTCTCTCTTTTCTGGAATTAGGTTGGTAAGTTATGTTTTCCTAGAGACTTGATCATCTCATTCATATTTGCATAGAGTCCAGCAAAGGAGGGCTTTGGTTCTTTGAATTTCCAGGCTTTGTTATGATTTCCCATGATCATTTCTCATGTTGTGTAGGTTTGATTTCACCCTTTTCCTTGCGTAGGGTAGGCAGAAGTTTGTTTTCAGAGAGCTAGTTTGGTTTTATTTTTCAGTTCTAATCTTTTTCTGTTGTCCAAATGATTAATTTCAACTATATTTTTATTATTCCCTTTCTAACTTCATGAATGGTATGCTGAAGGCATTCATTTTTGTTTATTAATATAATTTTATAAGGACAAGAATTTTCATCTGAACACCACTTTAGCTATCTCTCAGGTTCTGAAAGGTAGTCTACACATATATATTTCATATTAGCTACTGCTATTATTATAATTTATGTGGAAAGCCACTGGAGAGTTAAGGAAAGAAATAAGTTTGGTTTTCTAGGATAGGGCTAGATTAAGGTGGGCCTTGAGTGGGAGGTGTTGGTTAGAGATTTTTAACTTGATAAAAATAGTATTAAGAAGCCACTGGGGAGCTTTGGAAAGTAACATGATATAAATGTTGTTTTGAAATGATGAACATCTCACATATTAACATTACCTTATCTAGTACTTTGTCTTTTCCAAAGCAATTTTGGATAGGAAATGCCTTTTTCAGCAAAGATGGAAAAAAGAAGGCTTATCTATCTCCTTCTCAAAGATGATATGGTCCAATCCCGTAAACGAATACCTACCTAGAACTTCTCATGATTATTTTGAATGTTGTACACTGGCTGAAATCTTTCATTACTGACTTTAGAATTTCATACAGAAAGCTCCTTTAAATTTGAAGCATATCCTAAAATTAATTGGACTGTGGAGCAATCATCCACTTCTACTCTAGCACTTCATGTTATCACTCATTTGGAACTGACCTTTGCCTTCAGAGGTGTTTTATTTCTCTAGTAGGTTGTAAATTTCTCATATAAGTACAGTATCTTTTGTATTGTAGGAGGTCAATTCATATTTGTTATTAAATTATTTTGCTTGAAACTACTCTTGTATAATTATAAAATTCTCACAATGTGCATATGAGTAGTTGAAATACTCCAGGATAATTGTCTACCTTATCTTTATATTATCCCTAATCATATTCAACATTTTCAGTTGTCTTCCTATACTAAATAGGTAACCTGCACTTTATCCCACTTTCTATTATTCGAGTAACTAAACTAGTAAGTTGGTGTGTGTTATACCAGATCCACAATCTCTTTTATTTGATTTTTGTGTCAAGGGCTAATAGTTCCTACTCAATGTCCACTGTTCTCTTCTTTCTTACAGATTTTATCGGAGGAGGAAATGTGCCTACAAAAAAACTGTATTTCCTAGACTCCTCTCCAGGTGAGAGTAGCCATGTGACTAAATTCTGGCCACATGGATGTAGGTAGAAATTATTGAGCTAGAAGATTCCTGCCTAGAATCTAGAGGGCAAGCCTGGAGGAGAATCATGCTCACAGAAAGGATGGTGGACTAGAAAGCTAGAAAGTGTGAATGAAACTAGCTACGCAATCTGCAGGGGCAGCACAAAAGGAAAATGCCAACAACAGAGCATCGCCTCTGGCGCTGGGCCCTTGGAAGCATGGGGCCCTATGTGACTGCATGGGTCACATGCTGGTGAAGCTGGCCCTGTGTGTGAAGGAACTGGGGCCCGAGGCTGTTGTCGAGCTGCCATGTCCGCCCTGGACTGCCCGTCTGTTCTTCTTTTAATAGAGAGGAGCACAGCCCCCTTCTTGTTTAAGCCTCTGTTATCTGGATTTGCTGTGAGGTGCATTCCATAACTGATGCAGTGCTATGACTACCTTCATTTTACAGATGGAGAAACTGATGCTCGGACAGTTTGGTACCTGATCCATGGTAACCCAACTGGGGTGTGGACTCAGGCCCTGTGAGTATGGGTCACATACTCTTTCTTGTGCCAACACATTGTCTTTCTTTTCCTACAGAGATATAATCATTCCCCGTTTCCTTTTTCCAGCAAGATACTGCATTCTGCAGGTTTGCTGGTCTTACTATGGTCCCTCTGGGTAGCCTATAATAGGAGGAGGTTAGCTTCATCTCATTGGTGGTTCCTCATTCACATTTAATTGTACTCTGGAGTGGGCAAGTTGCAGGGCCTCAGTCCACATTTAAAATATTGCCCCAAAGTGATTCACTCTTGTCTCTAGTGATTCACTCTTTTCTCTAGCATAATATTTATACTCTGATTCCTCAGTAATTCTCCCTTTGTAGATAAAGCGTCAAGATCTTACATAATTCAGTTAAAAAAGAAACTCAAAATATGTGAGAGCCCATCTGATGTGGGTTTCCATCTACTTGACCCTTCAGGCGGAAAGCATTTATTCTTTTAATAGTGCATTAGGATAAACAGTGTTGATCGCCCTTTGGGTGTTCTCATGCATGGCCGTGGGAAGCACTGTGGCCATTAACTATTATCTATTTTATTAGCATACAAGCCATGGCTGCCACTTCAATGCTCCAGGACCCCAGGGTAACATAGGTTATATTTGCTGGGTTTGGGCTCCAAGGTGACTGTGGGTTTGCTCAGCTCCAGGGCCAGCACCCAGCTTGGTTAACAGACACAGGTTCTGGACCAAGTCCAGAGTGGTGCTGGGGTGGAGGTCAGTGTATGATCGCAGGTAATCAGTGTACTATGTGGGATGCTGGCAATGGCATTGGGAAACCCACCTTCTCCCTCTTGGTAGGAGGAGAGAAAACCTCCTACCTTCCCCAAGAGGAAGGAATTCCAGTCTGTTCATCCAGATTCCAGGACATGAATGTTGGTTGTTCACCAACAGGCACATGAAGTGTATGTGCCTCCTTGCCTCTTCCCTTGGTTAGAGGGTCAGGATCCCTCCCAAGCTGGGCCAGGCAGGATAACGCATCGGTGCTGGGGAGGCCCTGGGGCTCGGAGGCTGGGGATCAGACCTGGATTTAGGTTGAAGCCTCTACTTAGGCCTTGGCTTCCAACCCGCTTTTACCATATACCTTGCATTGGAGTGTCAGGCCCATTTGTGACTATGTGGCCTTTAGGCGGTCCACGGAGGACAGAACTGTGGTGTTCTGGGGTCCTTGTCTACAGTATCATTTTTAAATATCACCCAAATCTCACTGCAAGGGGGGGCCCTCTGTCGACACCTTGATTTCAGTTCTAGGCTCTAAAACTGTGAGATTGAACTTTTCTGTTGTTTAAGCTACTCGTCTGTGGTACTTTGTTATGACAACCCGACTACCATGCTTGGGAACAAGGTTGGGTTCTCCTATTTTAAAAGGCTAGTGGACTCCGTGGTTAGAAGTGGGAATACCACACTGTGAAATATTTGAAATCATCACCATACCTTTTCTTCCACTGTTCAAATATCGTAGCTTCTTGACTACAAGAAGCTCATAAATGTTCGTCAACAACCTGGACTACTTACATGCAATAGAGGAGTTTCCGTCTCACCCCTACTTTGGTAAAATAAGGAAATGGGGGTAGAGTTTTTGTGATCTGAGTTGGGTCACGTGGAGGTCAGGTCAGTGGTAACGTGGAATAGATGGGAGGCTCCCTAGCTTATCGTGTTAGTCGTCTGTTGATGAGAACTCTCTGATTCTTGATGAGAAGTTGCTAAAAGGATGATGGAGGATTTTTCTTCCAGTCCTGAAATACTTAGTGCAGTGCCCAGCACTGATAGGTACTAAAGACTGTACTATCACTATTAGTGTCCAATTCTGGAAAAGGATTGCTTTTCTTAAGTCCGTGGTCAGAGGGGGCGTATCTGCCCCTTGAAATTTATGTCTTATCGGTGGTGCTTAATAAAGTATTATATTAATGGGTCTGAACATGATGCCTTGAGCAATCTGGGTTAGAACATTTTAAACTTTATACCACATTGCTAATAAATCACTTCTCAAAAGACTAGGTCTTCAGCATCTGGTAGCTAGCCAACACAAAAATACTTCTTTAACAAATCAAAAACATGCAGTGTTTTATGAAAAAAATTGACAGAGTAAGGAAAATCAAATCCAGTATCTCCAAGATATCTTAATCATTGAGCATGAAAGTTCTAATATATGACATTTTACCACTATGTTTGCTAACAATCAAGAAAACTGAGCATCGTAAAAATAAGGTTTTTAAAGTGCTGAAAACTTTAATTCACTAAAACCAGGAAATATTATATTTGTATACTAAATTTTCTGGCCTCTGAGTGACCGTTTGCCAAAAACTTGGCTTAAAGAGAGTTTTGCAAATTTCTGGAGGACAGGGATTGTCTCTTTTTCTTACACAGGAGATCCACATCTTGCCCTGCCTATCAGTCTAGGATAATGAATATATATTCAGTAAATGCTTGTTGAATGAACCAATGTGTGAATGATTTTCTTGGTGGGTTTCTATGAACTGAGGGAGAAGAGGCAACATATCAGTAAAGAATGAACATTTTTGCTTTGAAATAAGGAAGGCAATTTATTGTAGTGAGATTATACTGAAGTTGTACCTATGCCCGCCAACGCATATAAAGTAATTCCCTCCACACTATTGAAGAAGACACCAGTGAACTACAAAGAAACTCAAAGTGCTGGAAATCAGTTAATGATGCATAATAATGCATTTTCACTAACTTACCTAAATTTAAAATTAGATGATTAGAGGACATATTGAAGTATTTTTCATACATATTAACAACAACTTTTTCTTTTACTGGAGCTTGCAATGCCTTTGATAACTCCGAACAGTGACAACTCTATTCCTTGCTGTTTCATTCATCTTACTATGGTAACTAGTTATCACAAAGCTGCTAACTAGAGGAAACTTCTAACAGAGACTTAAACATTTTCCCCTAAATGGAGTTTGTGGAAAATATGAAAATTGGCACACTGTTTAGGCAACATAAAAAAAGAAAAGACTATTTTGAAACCCTAACCACTAGAAAAATGCCCCAGGAGGCAGAGAGCAGCCATGCAGTTTAGCGCAAGTTCACAAACAAATATATACACATATCAACGTAGACCTCTTTGCACCCAGCGCCTTGTCTAGAATGCATTTTGTACATTTGCTACATGTTGCACAAATGCAGGGGCACAGACACTGCCTGAGTGCCGTTGAGGAGCTGGGTAGCTGTCCTCTCTGAGGAGGTATCTACACAACTTTCCAACGGAGCTTATTCACGACTTTTTGGAAAACAGAGTCTAAGAGCAGCTCTTTACACAGCCTTGTGTGTACAGAGGTGCCACGCGCTGTGTCTGGGTGACGGGTCCACCTCCTAGATGTAGGATTCCTTAGCGAATCGGAACTGATCAGCATCAAAGACGGGCTGACTACACCGCCGGGCCAGGAGGGCCTGCTTGTTCTTCTGTTGAGACTCAGACACAGTTCTCGGCCGATGCAGCTCAGGTCTCCTGGTGACAGTCACCTGTCCTGTCGTGTCTATAGAAGCACAGGCAGTCCTGCTCTGCTTCCAGCTCTCCGTCCTGGGCCACAGTCGGGGCCCGTCCAGTGGCTCCTGACTGCATATATTTCTTGAGTCCCCTCCGTGGTGGACAGGGAGAGGTGGCGGTAGCCGGGCGTCCAGGCTTAGCATCCTGGCCCTCATGCTGCCAACTGTTTGGCTCCCGTAGGTGGCGAGCTCCAAGGCCTGGTACCGAATGGCCTCCTCATAAGAGGGGGGGCCGCCAGGGCTCCTCTGATCCACCGGCTGGAACGCGTTCTCCACCGAGAGGGAGTGGGCCCCCGAGTTAAAATCCACAGCTGTTTGGCCGTGGGTGTCAGGCAAGTTTTCTTGGACGATTCGGCCGGCAAGCTGGCTTTCTTTTTTAAGACCTTTCTTTACCTGGTCTCTGGCGCAGCCCTTGGATTTCGCAGCCACAGCAGAGCTGCGGGTTTTGGTTAACACTTTTTGGTGAGAGGCAAAGGAGAATGACATGGAGTGTTTTTTTATTTCTCTGTCGGGCTTACTTTTCTCAGTCTTTGTGAAAGACTGATGTCTGGTGAAGAAGTTTCTTTTGGGACTGGAAGGAGAAGCCAGGGCTGAGCTGTTGGAGAGCACGTCCAGGGAGCCACTGGAGACGGCTTTGGGGGACAGTGTGCACGCTGACACCAAACCCCGAGCCGGGCTCTGCACCCTCGGGTCTCGTGGCCCCTGGGTTTTGCCTTCCGCTGCAGGAAACACCTCCTCTGGAAACGGGTCCTCGGCTTCCTCACTTGCAAAACAAGGGGCCGCCTGGGCCGCGGTGAAGTCATCCTCACTTCGCGTGAGTTTCGGGTTTGCTCTCCTGCCCTCAAGGCACTCCTGCGAGGATGCCGCCGTGCTGGGGTCCGAGTACCTCCTGTCTGGTTGCCCGAGGGAGCCTTTCAGTCTGGGCGCACTGCTGAGGACAGGCTCCCAAGGGTGCGGTGGGCCTCTGGGCTCCAGGCCGGCAGCCGGGTCCGAGGACCGTGGGGGCCACCTGCTCAGGGACCCCACGGCGCTGGGCTCCGCGTCGGGGTCGGGGTCGTTGCTGTCATAGGCCGAGTCGTTCTGCAGGGTCGACACGTCTGGGGGAAGTTAAGGGACGGTTGAGCTTTTGTTCAGTTACTTTTAGAAATAAACCTAAGTACCGTTCACCTACTTATTTCAAGTATGGTGCCAGGGAATTTGGTGATGCTAATTTGGGGCTTGGTATGAAAGAAACTGGCCACATTAAAATTCTGTTTCTTTCCATATCTACTGTTTTGAGGTGGAGAAGATAAGTAGGAAAATGAAGTGAGAGACGGAGGAAATGAGAAAGGAGAGAAAAAAGCATTCCACTGAAAATTTATTGATCTTAAAATTTAAAACTGATCCTTTGGATGGCTCTTTTGACTGGATCCATCCCCATTTTAACAGACCCATATTCCACTGTGTGGAAACAGAATTTTCTTACGCCAAC